ACCCACCGCGCTATCTGCCGGCATGTCTGCCCGCGCACACATTGCAGCAATGGCCCGGGCGCCGCTGCGACGCCCGGGCGCCGCTGCGACGCGGGGTCGCCGTGCTCCAGGCGAGGCCCGCCGGCAGACGGCGCGGCTGCCCGCCCAGCGCCCGCGCCGCGCTCGGCGCCGGCGCCCCGAGAGCTTCTGCCGCCGAGGCGCCGATCGGGCCCCCCGTCGCGGCTGGGGCCCGCGCCGGCCGTCGGACGCACTTGGCTGCCCGCGGCCCTCCGCCCGCCCGCGCGCCCCGCGTCTCCTCGTCGCCCTTCGCCCCCGCGCGCTTTAAGTGCGGCCTTGCTCTGTCTCGCTGGGCGACTGGGTGGCCCCTGGGGTCCTGGGGCTGCCTTCGCATGCTGGTGGCCTTCCACTCCTCGCAGACTGGGCCGCGCCGGCAGCCCTCGGTCCTCCCGCGCGCCCGGCAAGAGCGCTGGCCTTCTCTCCAGCAGCGCGCGGCCTAGCGCGGCCCCGCCGCGCCCGGGTCGCGAGCGAGCCCCCTGGATATCTGATTTTGACACTCGCCGCTCGACAGGCATTGGGCCGAGGTTGCAGGCGCCAGCTGCTCGCGCTACCCGCCCTCGGCCTGCCCAGCGGGATTGGCGGGCGCCTCCTCTGGGGATGCTGGCGGCGCTGCCGGCGCGCGCTCGAAGTCGCCGCTGCGCGAGGCCGCCCTGCCGGCATCGCCTCGACATCCATCGCCCCGAAGTCGGGCGCGGCAGCTGCGCCCGAGGCTGCCTCGGGCGTGCTGGGGCGCATGTCGCTCGGACTAGGCTGCGTCTGCGCGCCCGCCTGGGTGCCCTCGAACGGCCCTGGCAGCTCCGCGAATGGCTCCATCTCCGGGCCCAAACTGTGCGTCCTGACGTTGACGAAGCCCCCTCCGTCCGCGCCCCCCTCGCCCATTAGAGTCAAGTACATGCGCTGGCCGAAAGGGGGGGCCTCGTGACGCGCCAGCATGGACCTTTCTGGCAGCGGCTGGACCTCGCCCCGAACGCAGCCCACGGGGGCCGCTCTGGCCAGGGGGCCCCCCCGCGCCGAAGCCTCAGCCCGCGGCTGGCTCCCCGAGGAGACCCGCCTCCGTCGGCGGCGCCGCCCCCCCGCCCGGGGGCCGCCCTTCTCCTGCTGAGACGGCAGCATCCCGCACATCTCCGAATCTGCTTCCCAATTGGCGGCCACCTCCTCTGGGCGTTCTTCGCATGCCCTCGACCGCTCCTGCAGGCGCGCCCGCGCCGCCGACTGCCGCTGGCGCGCGCCTCGGGTGCACTCGAGCTGCGCCGCGGCCTCCTCGACAATAGCTTCTGCCCGGGCCGCGAGGCGCGCGCGCGGCGTCCGCTTCCGGCGCGTCACGGACGTCTGCGATTGCGGCGTCCTCGACCAGCATCGAGACAAGCTCCTGCCCGGCCGAGCCCCTACATCCGGCCGCGCGCAGCACCTGGGCGCCGCCGTTGGCCCCGCGCGCGGTCCAGTACGCCCCGCAGACGTCCGCGCCCCGCTCGGTCTCGGTCTCGGAGGTCGGGCTCATCTCCCCTGCTTCAGCGGGGCCCTGTCCGGGGCGCGGGCGGCGCCCGCGCCGCTCTGCGCGGCGCCAGCGCGCGCGCCCAGGCAGCGGCGCGCCCGTGAGCGACCCGCCCTGCCCCCTACCCTCGCGCGCCCTGCTGGGCTGAGTTTGGCCAGGTCCGCCACGTTGATCTGGGCGCTGCTCTCGACCGCGCAGCGGGGGCAGACGCGCGCGAGATCATTCTCGTACGAGGGGGCAGTGCAAGGCATAGCTGCGCACAAATGGACCATGCCGACGCCGCCTTCGTCCCTGGTCGCCTCCACGTCCGCCATGAAGGCCCCATGGGTGCTGCCCTTAATCTTCCGGAAGCGGTGGACGTGCCCGCGGCGAGTGATGCGGCTACGCTTGGTCGGTCCTTGCTCAAGCCGTGCCACTGAACCGCTTGGTCGGAGGATGCAGTCCTTTTTGGCATTATCTTCTCAGCTTCTCCTCCTCTCGCCCGCACCTCGTTCTTCGCGTGCCGTTCGTCTACCGCTACAGCCTGGGCGGGCCCTCTCCGCGCAAGGGCGGCTTCAGGGTCTCCTTCCAGCGATGCCATCGCATCGTGTCACGATTTGCTGCCCTCCGGCAATCCAAATTCCACATCCAGATGTAGGCGCAGAAGCCCCAGGCAGTGCGCACGATGCGAAACCAATCGCCGAGCCCAGGATGGCGATCGCTCCAACGCCCACGAGACCCATGGCCACCAACTGCACATTGACCCCATGGGCGCCGAAGGAGTAATGACCCGCGGCGTCGACCATTCCCATCAAGAAAACATGAAAACGATGAAACAAATCCCCGAGAGCATGCCCGACGCGTTCGTTGACCAGTTGAGCGGTGCCTCGGCCCGTGGCTTGATTAATAACCGGAATGGCGCCCAACGTCTGCTCATTCTCCTTCTCCTGAAGCGATTCACGGCGCGGCTGCTGCTCCAGCGGCGCGCCCTGCCCTCCTCCTGGCGGGGGCTCCTCGCGCAACGGCGGGGGGGCCGCAGCATCCTGGCCTCCAGCCCTGGCTGCAAGGCTCGGGCGCGGCCCCGGCTGCGGAGTTCCTTCGCCCTCGGTTTTGCGTCTCGGCAACCCGCTGGGCGCTGTAGTAGTCGTACCCGTAATTCAAACTTCCTGACTGGTCACGGACTGGTGCCCGGCTCCTGGCCTCAGCAGCACCTGTCGGCCCACTGGGACCCGCGCACGGCTGGCGGCGGACTCGTGGCCAAGAGCCCATCCACGGCGGGGGTCGCTGCCTCCCCAAGCTCCGCGAGCTGCGTGTCGTGACCTGTCGAAGACAGCGACGTTTCCTCGTCCTCGTCAGCGCGGCTCGGTGGGCCATCTGGACCATCACGTTCAGCGTCGCCGCCGCCTTCTCCTTCGCTGTCGCCCTCGCCGTCGTTGCTTCGACCGTGGCCCATCCCGGGCCCTCTGTAGGTGGCCGTCGCCGTGAAGCCCGCGATGAAGCCGACGCCCAAAGACGCGTCGAGCCACGCGAACACCGCAAAACGGCTGTCGCCACACTGCGCTCCAATGTTGTGGACTGGCCGCCTCGCGCCGCGGCAGCCCCCTCTCTCCTGGGCCGCCGCCTGCGGCCTGCTCCTCCTGGAGCTGCCACCTCGCCGGAGGTGCGGGCCCCAGCAGCCGAGTCCGCCCCTCGGTCCAGCTGCCGGGTGCCCTGGGCACGGCGCGTGCTATGGCCCCGCCCGCCCACCCCGAATAAAGATGATGTGGCCGTAGCGGCCATTTTCAGCCAAGGGCGACGGAGGAGGACAGGAGAGAAAGAGAGAGCATCGGGCAGAGCGCAGCTACGACCGATGCGAAAACCCTCTGTTCTCACGAACGTCCAAGAAGTGTGGGCGGCACAACCTCGGGCTGTTCTCCCGCCTGCACCCTCCTCCCTGCGGCCTGACACTTCTTGACGGCAGGTGAAGGATATTGGAGGATGAGGAAGGGTGAGGAAGAAGGAGGACGAGGAGGAGGGAAGAGGGGGGGAGGAAAAGACGAATTGGCCCTTTAGCTAACCCCCTTAGCCCTGCCACGAGACCTCACTCCCCGCGCAACGGGATGCCAGCCCACCTGCCCAGCCCCCTCATGCCCTCATGCGTGCCATGCCCTGCCATCGCCATTACCCTCCCGGTCCCACCCAACCCCCTGCCGTCCTTGTCGCACCGCTCACTGAAGCTCTGGGGTTCCCTTGTGCCCACCACCAGGAACCTCATTTAAAGCTTCCGCTGGTCGAATAGACATGCGTGAAGGGTTACCTTTTCTGGATGCGGATTCCGACGCCCGGCCCCATCAAGGGCAGGGGCAAGAGCCAGGCCCATGCCCTTGCATCTGAACATCCCTCCCCCTCATCCTTCCCATCTCCCTCCCCAATCCGCCTTCCCCCCCCCTTTTGGCCTTCCCCGCCGCCTCTCGCTACAGATATCCGATCCCGATGACCTGCTCCCCAACCCCCCCCTCCCTGCCCTCCACAATTACACAATCTGGCTACTACTCTCCTCTCTCCTATGATGACGTCCGAAAGATACTCGGCCCCCCTTTCCGCGCATTGTTTTTACACACGAGATTCCAGGAAGTTGGGTTTTCGCTTGGCGCTTGTTGTCAACATGCTGCTCCCGCTGAAGCGCTGGCCTCATTGTCAGGCTTCCGCGCGTTCCGAATCGCGCTCCCGCTGCGCAGCGCTGGCCTCATTTCCGCGCTTCCGCTCGTTCCGAACCGTGCTCCCGCTGCAGCGTTGGCGTCACGATTTCCAGTGCAATGCCACTGAATGCAATGCAATGTTATGTGGTGTTCCGCTGTGCGATGCTATGCCTCCATCTGGAACGCTCGGATATGCAGTGCATGGCTACGCTGCGCCACGCCATGCTATGCCATGCTACGCTTTGATATTCAACGCCATGCTGTGCCATGTTATGTTCTGCGACGCTGTGCACTGCCATTCGTTGCGTTGCAATGCTTTGTGATGCAAGGTTTCACTACGCGACGCCACACCATGCTATGACATACTGCGCTATGCCGTGCCCTTCTGCGCCCTGATATGCCGTGCCCTACCACGCACCGCGCACCCCCTCGGGACCATTGCCCTGCTCCACATCCGACTGTGCGAAAAGTGAAGAGATCTACGCCATAGTGATGGGAGGAGGAAGAGGAGGAGGAGGAGGAGGAGGAGGAGGAGGAGGAGGAGGAGGAGGAGGAGGAGGAGGACGAGGTGAAGGAGGAGGAGGAGGAGGGAGGAAGGAGGAGGAGGAGGAGGAGGAGGAGGAGGAGGAGGCGGAGGGGGAGGAGGAGGAGGGAGGAGGAGGAGGAGGAGGAGGCTAGGGGGAGGAGGAGGAGGAGGAGGAGGAGGAGGAGGAGGAGGAGGAGGAGGAGGAGGAGGAGGAGGGAGGAGGCGGAGGGGTAGCACGCCAGATATGACGCGAGCGCACCTGGCTTGCCCCCTGCCCCTTCCCCCCCCCGCCGTCAGGGCCGCCAGGCACCACTGCGGGTCGCACGCCAGCGTGCCGAGCCGCTCGTGCCCACGGCAGGCCCGGGGGGAGGCAGGCGGGGGCTCCAGCTCGTCCTCCTACTCCGCCTCCTCCCCTCTTCTTCCTTCTCCTCCTGCTCATCCCCTCCTCGTCCTGCTCCTCCTCCTCCTCCTCCTCCTCCTCATCCTCCTCCTCCTCTCGAACCCCTCTTCTTCCAGCTGCTCCTGCTCCTGTTCCTGCTCCTGGTCCTGGTCCTGGGCTGCTGCTCATCCTCCGTATTCTTCTCCGCCTCCTCCTCCTACTCCTCCTCCTCGTGCCCTTCATCCTGATCCCTCCGCATCCTCCAGGCCCCCTTTCTTCTTCTTCGACCGCATTCCGCCAGCGGTCTCCTTTCCGCCGCGGGCCCCCCGAGCAGACACGACAAACTTTATTCAAACAATGTATAGGACTGCCCCCAGGGGTCTGCCAGCGACCCAGCGCCCCTCGCAACTCGACCATGGGACGCCCCATAGCGCGGGACATGCGAGAAAGACGCTGAACGCCCGCCGGGGTCTGCGCTCTCTTTTCGGGGCCTCCGTCTGGCGGGGGGGGGGGGCATCTACCCGCCTCGGCAAAGTAGGGGCCTCCCCCGTCTCCAGGTAGGATTGTTAGACCCGCCTCGGCAGATGGCCGCTTCGGCAGAGGGACGCCTCGGCAGAGCCGCTCTGGCAGAACCTGGCGGGCTCCAGACGAGGCTCCTGGTCCGCGACAAAAAGGTGCGCCCGTGTTTTGGCGGCCATGCGTCGCACTGAGGATTGCTAGGAGGCATGCGGCACGCACCTCCCGCATCATCGTCATATAATTGTTTTTCGCGTTAGTTGTCTCATGTGCTGTCTTACTCGTTGCTAGTATTGCTATTACGGTTGCTCATAATACCATTATGACTATCAAGTATAGTAGGGCGATCATTTCCCCTTGTTTGGCGAGTACTCGTATGATTACTACTGGTACTACGCCGGCTACTACTACTACTACTACCACCACCACCACCACCACCACCACTACGACGACGACGACGACGACTACTACGGCTACTTCTACTACGATTACTACATCTACTACTACTACCACTACTACTACTACTACTACTACTACTACGACTACTACTACTACTACTACTACTACTACTACTACTACGACTACTACTACTACTACTACTACTACTACTACCACTACTACAACGACTGCGACTGTGACTGCTACTGCTACGACGACTACCACTACTACTACTACTATTACTACTACTACTACTACTCCTGCTACTGCTGCTGCTGCTGCTGCTACTGCTGCTACTACTACTACTACTACTACTAACCGTAGTAGTAGCAGTGATACAAAGCGTAGCAGTGTTTGTAAAAAGTGGTAGTAGCAGTATTCGTAAGAGTCGTAGTAGTAGTAGTAGTAGTAGTAGTAGTAGTAGTAGTAGTAGTAGTAGTAGTAGTAGTAGTAGTAGTAGTAGTAGTAGTAGTAGTAGTAGTAGTAGTAGTAGTAGTAGTAGTAGTAGTAGTAGTAGTAGTAGTAGTAGTAGTAGTAGTAGTAGTAGTAGTAGTAGTAGTAGTAGTAGTAGTAGTAGTAGTCGTAGTAGTCGTAGTAGTCGTAGTAGTAGTAGTAGTAGTAGTAGTAGTAGTAGTAGAGTAGTAGTAGTAGTAGTAGTAGTAGTAGTAGTAGTAGTAGTAGTAGTAGTAGTAGTGTAGTAGTAGTAGTAGTAGTAGTAACAGATATAGTAGTAGAGTAGTAGTAGTAAGTTAGTAGTAGTAGTAGTAGCAGTAGTAGTAGTAGTAGTAGTAGTAGTCAGTAGTAGTAGTAGTAGTAATAGTAGTATGAGTAGTAGTAGTAGTAGTAGTAGTAGTAGTAGTAGTAGTAGTAGTCGTAGTAGTCTAGTAGTAGTAATAGTAGTAGTAGTAGTAGTAGTAGTAGTAGTAGTAGCAGTAGTAGTAGTAGTAGTCGTAGTAGCAGTGGTGATAGTAAGAGGCGTAGTAGAAGTGGAGGTTGTAGTAGCAGTAGAAGTAGCAATAGTAGTACTCGTAGTCGTAGGTGTAGTGGTAGCGGTAGTTGTAACCGTAGTAGTAGTAGTAGTAGTAGTAGTAGTAGAAGTAGTAGTAGTAGTAGTAGTCGTCGTCGTAGTAGTAGTATTCATACTACTACTACTACTAGTAATGTACTAGTAGTACGAGTAGTAGTAGTAGTCGTAGTAGTAGAAGTAGTCGTAGTAGTAGTCGCAGTAGCAGTAGTAGTAGTAGTAGTAGTAGCAGTAGTAATAATATTCATCGCGGAAATATTCGTAGTATTAATAGTAGTAGTAGTAGTAGTAGTAGTAGTAGTAGTAGTAGTAGTAGTAGTAGTAGTACGACTACTACTACTGATCCTAATAGTACTACTACAACTAAACGTAGTAGTAGTAGTAGTAATAGTAGTAGTAGTAGTAGTAGTAGTAGTAGTAGTAACATGAATCGTAGTAGAAGTAGAAGTAGAAGTAGAAGTATAAGTAGAAGTAGTAGTAGTAGTAGCAGCAGCAGTACTAGTAGTAGTAGTAGTAGTAGTAGTAGTAGTAGTAGTAGTAGTGGTAGTGGTAGTGGTTAGTAGTAGTAGTAGAGTAGTAGTAGTAGTAGTAGTAGGTAGTAGTAGTAGTAGTAGTAGTAGTTAGTAGTAGTAGTAGTAGTAGTAGTAGTAGTTAGTAGTAGTAGTAGTAGTAGTAGTAGTAGTAGTAGTAGTAGTAGTAGTAGTAGCAGCAGTAGTAGTAGTAGTAGTAGTAGTAGCCGTAGTAATAGTAGTGGTGGTGGTGGTAATAGTAGTAGTAGTAGTAGTAGTAGTAGTAGTAGTAGTAGTAGTAGGAGTAGTAGTAGTAGTAGTACGAGTACGAGTACCAATTCTATCAGTAATACATGTATTCCTGACTTCTGTTCGGAATAAGATTCACATTATTGCTGGTATTACAATTGTTGTGCTTGACTTTTCAGATTCGTAGTATTGCTCAGATGCTTGTTCCTCATTCCTTCCTCATTCATCATCTCCTCCTCCTCCTCCTCCTCCTCCTCCTCCTCCTCCTCCTCCTCCTCCTCCTCCTCCTACGCGCCCTCTCTCCTCCACCTTTCTTCTCATTCCCATCCCTCTCAGTAGCTGAGCGCCGGGAAAACTAAAGCATCTGGGGGACCACTCGGAAGCGTCTCGGGGGCTCCTAATTAACGCAATATTGATGTCTTGCGGGGGGCTCCCGAGGAGGGCCTCTTGGGGGCTGGGGGGCCGCCTTGGGGGAAACAAACAGATACTGAGACCCCTGCTCCCCGGACCTCTCCCGGGGTGCGTTCTGACCACGGCTCCGCAGCGAAACCATCCGTATAGCGACGAGGGCCCCCCCCCCACACAGCGGCACCGAGAGGGCAGCACCGAGGGGAGGCACCGTCCTCGGCGTGCCTTCCCACTCCGGTGCTGTGGCCCGACCCGCCGCCCGCGCTCCCCCCGGAGCAGAGGTGATCCCAGAGCTGCCCCGCCGCCGCAGGGGACGAGGCGACCAGCGGCCGCTCAGCCAGGCAGACCGACCCCGCGGCCACCGCCTCCGCCACAAAGAGGCACCGGCCCTTCTCGGGGGACAGGCGCACCTCGCGGGGGAAGGGGGGGATTCCCGAGTCACGAAGGGGTGGGGGAGGAAGGGGGGGAGATGAAGACATCCAGCGTGCTGACAGTGCCAAGACGGATCTGATTCGAAGCTCCTCGGGGATCCTCGTCGGACTTTGGATGAAGAGCCAGCCATAGGGAAACGGTCGGCACTTCCAAGGGCCCCGTCACAAAACAAATCGAGACGTCGGATCTCTGGGGAGGGGGAACATCAGCGCAGGCGGGTTTCAGGCTGATCTGGGGGTGCCGCGGGGCTCCAGGGGACTGCGCGGGGGCGCCAGAGGCTGAAGGCTCCAGAGCACGAGATGGGGGCGGGGAGGGCATCGAGAGGGGGAAGACGGGCACGACCGAACGAGCGGTCAAGGATCTCCGTGGCCCGCTGGCACATGGGCAGACTGGACGCACACGGGCGACCCATGCACGACGCTGCACGCGCATGGTGCACGCAGGGGGGGGGGCGGTAAGCAGCCAGGGCGGATCGACGACGAGGCGGGAAGCCGGGACGGGAGGGACAAGAGGGACAGCGGAAGCGGGGCAGCGGAGGTACCAGTCGGGGCCCCGAGGCCTCGGTGATCGCGCCGCCCGCGCCGCTCGCCGCCATGCAGCGGCCAGTCAGGCGCGCGGCCCTTGGTGGGCCATGGCCGTCCGCCCTGTCTCGAGCCGACCAGTCGGGGAGGGCGCTCACACCTCTGCGCGCAGCGGTGCGCGGGCCCGGTCGCCAGGGAGGGCTCGAGCGAGGACCGGCTGCGTTCGAGTGGGTCCCGCGGCGCGCGCGGTGGCGGCGCCAGGGAAGGGGTTGCTGGCGGAGGCCTGCGAGAGAGGAGGGCCGTTCTGCCTCCGTCCTTTTCCCTCTCCCCACCGCACCCTCCCCCTCCCCGTGCTGCATCCTGCCTCCTTCTCTCTGATATTTCGTCATACCTCTTCATCATCACTGCCCCCGCCTCTCCGACGGCGCATCGAGGCCTGCTCTACGCCAGCGTGCTCTCCGCCCCCACTCCAACGGCCCTTTCACCCCCCCACTGGCCCTGTGGGCGGCGCTGGTGCGGAGGACTCGTGACAGCTCGAGGCCAGAATGGTCAGAGTGAGGGTGCCGAGCGGTCATTCGCTGTCCCTGGGCGCGTGGCTGAAGTGAGGTTCCGCGGTGCGGATTGCTGCTGTTGCGTTTGTTGTTGCTGTTGTTGTTGGTGGTGGTGTTGGTGTTGTTGGTGTTCTTGTTGTTGGTTTTGTTGTTGGTGGTGTGGTTGTTGATGTTGTTGCTGGATTTCCTTCCATAGTACACCCCGCAATGGGAACAGGGGGGGGGGCGAGGGAAGACCTCGTGGCAAAAAGCAAGGGATCAGCCGCAGGCCAAACGCCCCTGGCGCGCATTTGCGCCAAAATTGTAGGGTGGGGGGGAGAGAAGCGCAGCTCCAGCCGATGCGGCTAGAGAGGGGGGGAAAGAGGGAGATAGGCGTGCCTGCTGCTGGAAATCCAAACGTTGAAGCAATGCATGTGCACAAACAGATGTCCTCCCATGCTACCCTGCACAATCGGAACAGGGGGGGCGAGGGAGGACCCCTTTGTGGCGAGTAAAAGCAGGGGTTCAGCCGCAGGCAAATCGCCCGTGGCATTGCCCCGGCCACGGGCCCTCCATCTCCCCCGTGAGGTTGGGGTCGACCACCGCTCGCGGGCCGTTCGGTTGCCCCACCCTTCGAGTTGGGGCGGGCGTCCCTAAAACACGCGCCGAACGCAAGCTTCGCTGGAGGGGTCCTACTCCCTAGTGGAATCCACCTGTCCTCCGCTTTGGTCAAAACTGCTTGGTGATCCGTCCGTCTGTGCGACCTCCCGGGAGAAACTCCTCGAAGGGCGCCTTGGAGAACTACACCCTGCGGGTGCCCTCGCTTCCCTCGGCCTCCTTCTTATCGCTGGCGCCCCCGAAAGTGAGCTCGTAGCTCTGCGCGGACATCGCCTCCGCCAAGCCCTGCTGCGGCTCGTGGGCCGACCAGAGGTGCACGTGGAAAGCGATGGACTTCAACCTTCCGAACCTCCTGCGCCGCTCAATATCTGGCACTGCATGATGCATTGCAGCGGTTCCCCCGATTCGAAGGGAGCGGGGTCCGATGCGAGGGGGATGGGTCCCAACCGCCGCCGCTGCTTGGTCGAGCAGCGCTTTCACGTCCTGCCTCTGGATCGGGGCCCCAGTCTTCGCCCCGACCCGAGGGCAGGTCTCCCCCCCCGAAGCCCACCTCCGCGGGGCTGGGCGCTCCAGTTCCTCAAGGGCCCTTGCCGGGCATAGCTCGCTGCCCGTCGCGCAGCGATTCCAACAGCATCCAGGAGTATACTGGTCTGTCTTGCCCCCTCCCTGATATAGGTGACGACCTCGTCCGCCTCCGCGAACGTGCCGCGAAGAACTTTTTCTTGCCGCGGGGCCTCTCAAACCGGACTCGCGCTTCCACCCATGTCGCTCAAGCGCTTCAAGAAAGTTCCTCAATTGAGCTGTGGGGCTCCATTCTTCCTCCCCCACCTCTTGGGGGGGGGGCTCCTTGCCATCGCTGGGGCAGGATTATGACCCCTCCTCCGGCTCCGACGCTCGCAGCAGAGAACAGCCCGCGTCCAGGACGCGGTCGAGCCAGGCGGTGAACCGCCCTCTGGCCAGAGAAGCGGTTCCCTGAAGGGCGGTAACTGCGGGGCCCCCGACACCCCGATCCTCGCCCAGGTCCTAAATGGCCTTGGCGTCCACTCCTGTGTATTTGCAGAATGGCAAGGCGCATGGCTCCGCGCTGCCGCAGGTGGCGCCATCCCGGCAGAGATGGATCACCTTCATCTCCGCCTGCTCCAGGGTCCACCTTAGCAGCGAGTCCTCGCAACTATGTGCCCGGGAGTAAGGAAAATCCTGCCCGTGGCGCTCCTCCTCCCTGATGGGGTCTCCGTACATGCCCTGGTCGAACCGAAACATTTACCCGCGTGCTTCTCGCGCAAGGTGATTGGGGAGGCGAACCGCGGTCGCTTCGAGCCCGAATCGCATCCTTGAAAAAGTCGTTGTCCACGGGGCGGGCGCCCGGGCAACTCCAATCCAGCTCCAAGAGGGAGAGCCGGTTATCCTCCACCCGGGTGCACTACTCCCGAATGAAGGGGGACCGGCTGAACCGCCTGTAGATCCAATAGAACGGGCGCACTCCCCAATCGATCGTGAGCAGGAGGGAAGAGAGGCGCATGAGGGACGCCCATGCCATATATGCATCCGTGGACCCTTCCTTTGAGGTCGATCCAGCGCAGCCCCGTGAGGTAGATGAGGGCCGCGTCCGTGCATCCCAGGACCCACCAAGTGAAGCGGACTGCGATGCCGTCGCCGCTGGCGCGTCGTACCTCCAAGATCCCACCAGCCCTTTGGGCGTGAGTGGTTTAGAGAGCCCGCTCTGTTCTCAACCCCCCTTCTTCCCCTTCGGGGAGGGGTTTACCCCTCCCCCTGCCCCCTCCCCCTGGGCCTGGAGAGGGCGGGCCGAGTGGTGTCAAGGGGGTCTTTTCCGACTCCTGGGAGGGCAAAAAAAAACGACGACCCTCACGAGGATTCTCGTCCTGAGGGGGGGGGGGGGTAGTTTGGCCCCTCAACTCGTCTTCGAAGCCAAAAACATTGATTTTACTACGGTTTTGGCCCCATTTTGGCATTCTGATGGGGGGCCATCTCATCTTCCTTCATAGCAAAATCATTGATTTTACTAAGGTTTTGGCCTCATTTTATCCTTCTCAGGGGGCAGCGTTTATTTCCGCTTCTGAGGAGGTCGCAAGAGGCCCCAAGATGGCCCCAAGAGGCCTCCAGGAGGCTCCCAAGAGGCCTCCAAGAGGCCCCCAAGAGGCCCCCAAGAGGCCCCAAGAGGTCACCAAGAGGCCCCCAAGAGGCACCCAAAAGGCCCCAAGAGGCCCCAAGAGGCCCCCAAGAGGCCCCCAAGAGGCCCAAGGGCCTCCAAGAAGCCCCAAGAGGCTCCAGAGGCCCCCAAGAGGCCCCACAGAGGGGCCCGAACGACTCACACCAGGACGAGGCGCCCGAACGACTCACACCACGAGGAGCCCGAACGACTCACACCAGGACGAGGGCCCCGAACGACTCACACCACGAGGAGCCCGAACGACTCACACCTGGAGGAGGAGCCCGAACGACTCACACCAGGACGAAGGGCCCGAACAACTCACACCACGAGAAGCCCGAACGACTCACCCAGGACGAAGAGCCCGAACGACTCACACGACGAAGAGCCCGAACGACTCACACCAGGAAGAAGGGCCCGAACGACTCACACCAGGACGAGAGGCCCGGATATATGCGGGGGCAGGCGGAAACACGCCTGAAAAACACGACTGTCGGCATGCTTCGCAAGAGTTGCTGTTTTGAGATGGGCTGGTGGGGATACGCGAAGCGTAAAGAATTACTTCCCGCCTGCGCCCCGAGAGCCACTGGCGGCCCCACCATCCCTCTCCTTCGATCTCCCCCCGGACTTCCTCTGGGCTAGATCCTTCCACGCGGGCGCGCCAGGCCAGGAGGGCTTCCCAGCTCCCCTGTCACCGCCACGGGGGAGCACCAGGATCCTCCTCGCCTTCTTGCCAGTCGCGTCCCGGACTGCGCCCTCGGCCGACGAGGACGTCTTGGACTCCGCCGCGGGCCCAATTGCATCCTCCTTGACCCTCGGGGGCACCGCGCCGTCAGCGCCTCCACCTGGGGGGCGCGGCACCTCCCCCTTGCGGGCCGCATTCGGGAGGGCACCCCACCCTTAGGAAGCCGCCGAGCCAGGGCGAGGGCGCGCCCACGGGCGCCGCGGTGGGCGCAGGAACACTCTCAGGCGAGGGCGAGGCTGTGGCCGTGCGGGGCCCCCGTCCTCCTACAGCACGAGGTCGCCCCACCCGCGGGGCCGAAGCCTTCTGGGGGGAGCGGCGAGAGCCCGCACTGGGGGCCCCCGCGGGGGTTGCCGACCGGCGGCAGCCGGCGGGGCCGGAGGCGACGGGGCGGTCTGCGCGCATGGGCGCGCCGCTCCGACCTCCGGGAGGCGGGGGCAAGGCGGCGGCACCTTTCCCCATGCGCCCCGTGGCCCACCAAGGACGGCTCGCGCCCCTTTGCTGGCCGTGCCGGGGACGGCGGCACGTCCTCAACCGGGGAAGCTGTGGGATCCCTGCATGGGCGCTGGCCTGAGACCTCCAGGGGCCGGCCACGCCTGCTCGCCTCCCCCCCCCAGGTGGTAGCGCCGGAACTGTCCGTCCGAGTTGGAGCCGCATACAGGGGGCCCCCCCCATGCTCCCAAGGGGGCCAGGGATGCCATTAATGTGACCAGAATGGCGACCACCAGCATCGCCACCATGTGGGTTCAGGGGCGCGCGCGCGCGCGTGCACGCGCGCGGGCCCCTCCGCAAAAGCGCAGTTCCAGCCGATGCGGTTAGAGAAGGAAGAAAAGAGAGAGAGAGAGAGAGAGAGAGAGAAAACAAAAAAAAAGAAAAGAAAGAGAAAAAGAGATAGGCGCGCCTGCCGCACTGAATCCCAGCTTTAAAGCAGTGCAAGTACACAAACATTGTTGTTGTTGTTGTTGTTGTTGTTGTTGTTGTTGTTGTTGTTGTTGTTGTTGTTAGTGTCGTTGTTGTTGTTGTTGTTCGTGTTCGTGTTCGTGTTGTTGTTGTTGTTGCTGTTGCTGTTGCTGTTGCTGTTGTTGTTGTTGTTGTTGAACTCTCATTCCTGAAAAAGAATTATTGTTGATCCCCTCCGTCCGGTGCACTTTTTTTTGTTCGA